AAACGGTGTCACAGTCACGGTTGCCACTGAAGATACGGGGCTATTGCACCCCTGTGGAGGTGTTGTGTTGGGGCTAGGAGAGATCCCTGTGGAGTTGCAGTTGTCCTTGGAATGCTGCCTTTTTACATGCTAAGTGTTCTTCTCTAGAATAGATCCCCAATAGCCCATTCTCTACACTTTGTTTTTGTATATTTAAAATAGCATGTACACATTTGTTTCTTCAAATCTTGTCACATCAGTGATTCTTACCAGGGTTTAATAGACCTGATGTGTTAAGATTTCCACTAACTGCTTTTTATTCCTTTGATACTTTATGTTCCTTTGCAGCATAAGAAAATATAGTAAAGCATAGTGGTATCACTCATTGTGTAGGAATGGGGAACTCAAGGTGAAGATTAAATGACTTATGCAAGGAATGAAGGGAAGGAGGCTTTCAAGTGTAGCTGAGACACTAGGAGTTTGGTATTTTTATAGGGAAAAAATACAATGGTTAATTGAGCAGGCTTTCTGAATTTAACTTCTTTAATGCTTGATTTTACACTTAAGTATTAAATCTTTCAAGTATTATCTATATCGGTACCAACTAATCTGCCTTTCGTTATATAATGGATAACTGATCCAGCCTTTCCTTTTAAGAAAATCCTGGATGTATTAGATCGTTAAAACAAATTCTAACATTTGGTGCTCATTAGTGTTCTAACCGAAACAAAAACATTTTAATGGCTGATCCCAGAATATTTTGAAGTTAGTGTAACTTTGCTGGAAAGGTATTTAAGCTACAGTATCAATTGCAAATAGGCCGTGAGCCAATTTTCAAAGCTGTTTCTATGTAAGACACTGAGTTTTTCAGAATGCAAAAACTACAGTATATGGTGCTGTGCCATGTGGCAACGAAACAGAATGAAGCAATTACAATGGGATTTGTATTGATAATTGTATTTCTAAGTGAGTAGTTTAAGATGTAGTGAAACAGTTTAGAATAACTCCCCAGTGTGCACAACAATTGCTTTATTTTAGTTGTAAACCATGAAAGAGGTGTTTTTAATCTAAGGAAGGATGGGGATATCTGGATAATAATTAAAACTTCAAACTCAATATTTAGGGTTTATGGCTAATTGACCTGACTTAAAATGGGATGCTTCAGCTTTTTGGACATTTCAAGAAAACTGCTAATTATCATTTATCTATGAAGGTAAAATAATGACTTTCTATAACCTAGAGAATAAAAAGGTAAACTCTTTACTTAAGATTCTCATTTGTTGTTTGGCTGGGCAACAGAACTTGGCATAGAGAATTTTTCTTTTAAAAACACTCAAACTAATTTCCTTTGTTTGTGGTAAATGCAAAAGGAAGGCAGTTCAGTATTAAATAATGTTGTATGTCAGTTCGAAATTAATTCTGTGCTTCATGACAATACTTAGATTGATAGTAAGTACAATCTAATGGTTTATATGTGTGTTTCGACATTTAACCATAGATATTGCTTGCAAGAATTTTTTTTTAAAATCTCAGGCTAAGTATGTTTTATTCATAGTTGTTTTAATTTGTATAATCTTTTAATATAAGATAAGACACCTAAAAATTACATTGCTATTAGATGTGTTTTCAATAAGTGTTATTGAAATATGTAGATTTACAGTGTTACACAAATTGGGACAACAAACAATTCTTAACACAGCGCTTTATGAGTTTCTGGTTATTTGAACGATATGTTTAGATTACTTTGAATTATTTTTATTATCATTGTGAATCGGTTTGTTTTTGTATGCATATTTGTGTGTTTTGACTTTATCTGGACCTCAATTAGGTAGTTTAATGACAATTCCGTAGCAAGATAATTTCGAAGGCTCATTCTTTACTTGATTCCTACTCTGTGATATACAGCTATTTGGGTGGAAATATGTTTTGGGAAATAATGTTTGGAAATGTATGACTCACTTGACATGCTTTAATATTCAGAATAATTTACAGTGAAATTGAATTTTCAGCAACTAGTCAGTGTCCTTGATTGAATAGCTACTATTTTTACTTAAGCAAAGTGTATATTTGTCAGGTTTAATTCATAGACTATTTTGAAAATATATTTTAAGTGTTGGTATCCGACCAGCTTAATATTTAATTTCAAAAATTTACTTTGATGAAAAATAAAATTTTAATTTTTAGTTTATTCTTTTCTCTTTGTTTTTGTTTATTATTTATTTTGTTCTAGATCCACATGGTAGAATCTGGCTCATATAATAAAGTGTCATTAACTCCAAATAGGTTTGAATAATTTTTTAAATCAACCTAGTGATACTTCTGTAATTTTCTCTTGTTTCTTGATTCTGTTGTTTGGGGCGAGTGTTGCCTTCTGATTTTTCCTGACTCTGCTGGTGGTTTGTGTGTAGAAATAAGAGTCGTGAGTGTTCCTCAGGAAGAAAATAGAAGGCGGGTAGATGTGTTTGGAAAGCATGTCCAATGATATAAACAATGATATACTATGACTAATAAAATCAAAACATCCTTTGTATGATGATGAAGAAGTATAGGTAACAAGTACAATGAATGATATATCAGGAGAGTTTAAGGGCTAAGTGCCAATTTCCAGCACTGTTCAAAGGTGCAATAGAGCTGGGAACCTGTAAAGCTAAGTTCATTTTCTAATTATGACAAACACCACTGTGTTTTATGGGTAATAGCTTATATCTATTCCAGGTTACTTTTTTTAGTAGAGACTATATACATGTGGTACAGAATTAAAAAGGTTTAAAGATATGAAGCCTAGCCTGTGTCTTGTCTTTCAGTCACTCACTCCCTCTGCTTGGAGGCCACAGCTGCTATCTGTTTCTTCCAGAAATTTTATGCAAATACAAGCATACATGTGATGTGTGCATATATTTTATTTTACAATTTATTATCCAAATTAAGTCGTTTCCATTCTTGGATTTTGTGAAAAGTACTGCAGTGAAATTTTTTATGTACAAATCTTGTTTAAAGCGTTACAAAAAATAATTTTGAAGGCTGTTGAAGCAGGATGACTCCTATGAAGGACAACTAATGATTTGCATCTAAACTTTGCGCTTCCGGACAAAATTTGCAGATGGCCAAATATCGTTATCCTAAATAGCATGAAGGGAGAGGGGCGGGGGGAAGTATCAGAAACATTGTGTGACTGCGGTAGCCAGTGCTGAAGGAACATTTTTGAGCCTCTCAATTTGATTTTCTTGTAAAATTAACTTTATTGAGATGTAATTCGGGTGCAGTAAAATGAACCCGTTTTACATGTATAGTTTTAGGTGTTCGACAAATCTATACAGCCATGCAACCACCAGCACAGTCAAGACACGGAACATTTCCATCACCTAAAAAGCTCCCTTGTATGCTCACTCTCTAAGGCCTTCCCTGCCCCCTCCACACCCCAGCCCCAGGCAACCACTGCTCTGCTTCTGTCACTACAAATGGCGTCACACATCGTGTCCTCTTCTGTGTCTGGCTTCTGTTGCTCAGCATGGTATTTCTCGGTTTCATCCATGTTGTATGTATGAGTCGTTTTTCCTTCTGATTGTTGAGTACTATTCCTTTGTGTGAATAGACCACAACACATTTATCTGTCTTCCGGTGATGGACATTTGGGTTGCTTCCAGTTTTTTTATTTGTTTTTTTTATGAATAAAGCTCCCACTTATGTACACGTCTTTATATTATTAATGTCTTCATATCTTTTGGGCTCATCCTCAGGAGTTGAATTGCAGGATCCTATAGTAAGTTTATGTTTAACTTGATGAGAAACTGCCAAATAGTTTTACTGTTTCATCTTCACATCAACACCATATGAACGTTCCAGATGCTCTTCAACCTCTTCAATGCTCGGTGTTGTTAGTCTTTTTAACTTTAGCCGTTCTGGTGGACGTGTAGTGGTATCTCATTTGGTTTGGATTTGTATGTTTTCATGTGCTCATTTTCCATGCATATAGCTTCTTTTATGAAATGTCTATTCAAATCTTTTGCCCGTTTTTAAATTGGGTTGTCTTCTTGTTATTGTATTATTATAAAAGTGCTTTATATGTTCTGAACACAAGTCATTTGTTGGATATATGTATTGTGAATATTTTCTCCGGTCTATGGCTTACCTTTTCATTTTCTTGGTGGTGTTTTTTGAGCATATGACTTTTTATTTTGATGAAGTTTAACTTATCAATTATTCTTACATGGTTTGTGCTTATTGTACCTTGTCTAAGAAATCTTGGCTCAGCCTAAGGTCTTAAAGATTTCCTCCTAGATTTTCCTCTAGAAATTTTATCGTTTTTAGCTCTTTTAGGTCTGTAATCCATTTCAAGTTAATTTTTGTATATATTGAGTATGAGTTTTTTGTGTGTAATCAGTAGAAACCCATTGAAAATGTTTGAACATGGAGACAACTTTAGCGACAGTGTAGAGGCTGCAGTGAAAGGTGAAAAGATAGATGGCTGATAATGGTAGATAATGGTAGATAATGATCCAAGCTAGGACAGCAGTCACCCATATGGAGAGAGCAGGGAAGAGGGTAGATTTGATGGCGTTTTAGAGATAGAATGAATTGGATGGGGAGTAGAGATGAGGCTAAGGCTTATGGTTCCAGGAAATAGCATGATCTGTGACCAGGACTGGGACATAGGACAAGGAAAAGATTTATGATGAAAGGAGAAGAGTTTGCTTTCACACTGTTGACTTACGTGATAGCAGGACATTTAGTCCTTGTCCGCGTGCACACAAGTTGGGGCATGGCCATATTCTTAGTGAAAACTTGTTTTTCGTTAACCCACTATAACCGATTTACAGTGTTGTTATATATGTAGGGTCCATTGTGGTGGTTTTTACAGCTTCACAGTACTGTAGTTGTATAGTGAAGCTACTGTAATATGCTATATAAAAGAATGATCTTTAAAAAAACAAAAAAGCCCCGAAATGGTTTCTACTGTATTTCTCTCCTGTTTCCATCGCAACATAACCTCTAATAAGGATATTCTTTCATTCTTTGTCTAGATATGCAGACATCTCCTGTCATGCTTTTCATGTAAGTAAGATTCTTTTATCTTTAGTTATTTTGATGCTCAAATTATCCCAGCATGGCCAGTGAAAATGGGCTGCTTCAAGCTGAGTCCTGTGTCCTTTTGACATGTCCCTATGGTTGTTTGAGCACTTTCTTATGTTCTGTCATAACAAGATGTCCTAAACTCAGCTCATACTTTCCCTACTCAAGCCCTGTCCCCAGGCATGTCTCTAAGGAGCTCTGTTTCTTTTCAGTGGGGAATGGTATTTAGAAACAGGTCTAGATGCTCAGGTGTGCTTACTGCGGCTGAGGCCTCATTGCTTTTAGGTCCTATCAGTGGACAGAGCTGGGAAGTTATATATAAAACGTATGTGTGTGTATGCACACAGGCATATATATATTATATATACATGTATATCATACATATCTGTATTTCTATATCCATCTATATAAATGATAAGTTCATACCTATATCTCTAATTGTAATCCAATATTCTGTTTTTTTCCCCTAAGGCTTCCTCTTTCCATAGTGATATACTATGACTAATAAAACTAAAACCTTATTGACTCCCGTTAACTCAATGCATTTACTTATTTGCTCAGTTCCCTTGTATATAACAAATCTTCTGGTTACAATGGACCAAATTTTTGCTCCAGGTCTTGCCAAACTCCCCTCTCTCCAACAGCCTCTGCCCAGCTCCTAGAAATGGAAAAAGGATGAAAAAGAAAGGAGAGGGAGGAAGGTCTTCCTAATGAATTTGGGCTCAATTATTCCATTGGGTGGGTAAAAACTGAAGGAAGGAAGGCGCCATATAGAATTTTAAACTTGAGAGCAGTAAATTTTGTCAGTATCTCTTTTTTTTTTGTTTCTGGCTTTCATGTCACATGCTAAGTTCATAAAAATGTTTTTTATAATACTTTTTTTTTTTTTTAGCTAAGCCATCCTGCCCTGTTGGCAGCTCAGCTCGGGCCAGGAATCAAACCACCGTTGCTCAGAGCTCAAACTCTTGAGCGAGCTCTTAACCAACTGAGCCACTCGGCCGGCCGATATAATACTTTTTTTACATTTTGTTTTATTTTTGACGTTTTAATCTTTAATCCATCTTAGATTTATTTGGGGGTTATTTTAGAACCTAATTATATTTTACTTTTCTAAATGGATAACCAGTTATTCCAATGTTAATAGTGGCTAATCCATCTTTATTACATTGATGTGAAATGCCATCTCCATTGGATCCTGTTTACATTGCTCTGTTTCTGTATTCTTATGTTGCATGTATCTGTTTTTTTCATTGCATGCCTGATAGTAGTGCAGTGTAATATTACCTCATCGGGTACTTGTGAGCATTAAATTAAAAATGCATATAAAATGATTAGTGCCAACCATATAGTGTAAAGTAGTCAACCCACATTAGCCTTTATTATCATCAAAAGGAATCAATTTTTAAAACAATAAGGGGTAAATTGCAAAAATAAAGAAAACAAAGGTAAAGAGTATAGGAAGAAGTACTGGCATATCTTTTTTTCCCATAAAAATCTAGACCTAATTTTTGTACTGTGCTTATAAAATGGCAAGAGCTCATATTCTTTATATATAGATACATTACATTTAAAAATGCAACCAGGATTAGATGAAGTTTAGTTATTTAAAATTACAGGTGTTCTCGATTATAGCCTCTTCGTAGGCAGAGACTATGACTTATTTCATTTACAAATATTTATTGAGCACCTCAGTGTGCCGGGCACTGGGCAGAGAATAAGACACAATATCTACCTTGAGCAGCTCACAGCTAGTTGGGGATACAGACACATAAACAAACAAATGCAAACAGTGTGGCAAGTGCTAATATATATGTATATATACACCAGTGTTTTTAGTTGCCTTCTGCTGATGTGGAAATATTTAAATCAAGCAGCACACATTCACTGAGACATTTTCCGAAACATATGGATGGGATGATGAGAATATTTAAATAACGTTTTTATGCTAACTTCCCAGGAACTATATCTCAAAGTACTTATTGGCCCCTCCACCCCTTCCCGTAAATCCTTGTATAATACCAATCACAAAGAAGGCAGAAAGCCACATTTTTGGAATGCTTCTTCTGTATATTTTCCGCTTTTAAAGATGTTAACTCAGTGTACTCCATGTTTAATCCTGAATAGTGAATACATATATGCTACATATTAACAAAACAATGGCACTTTCAGTACCTTGTACTAATACTGTTTTCTCTGAATGCTTCCTCTAGTTCTGTGACTAAAATCATGTAATTACTTTGTATTTTTATACAATCAAATTGATGCATTTTAAAATCCAAGCATGTGTTCTATATATGTTCTGCACCTGTGACAAGATGATTTTAACCATTCACTTATAAAAGAGAAACACATTGTCAGGGGCACCCCAGCTTTGAAGCATATGCTCTCTTTTTCTGCTTGGTAACCATGTGAAAAATACCAATTACTGAAACCCTGAGAAGAATGAAATTACTTGTAAACCTAGTATTCATACCAAAAAGGCCCTCTAAATCAAAACCATACTGAGATGCAATGGACCAAATCTGTATAACATAAACCTTTCAAGACCATTGTCGCTACAAAAATATCCTTGATTTGGGAAGGCAGCTTTAACAAAACAGTATTGTTAAAAATAACTAAAGTGAGGCAGCTGGCAACCAAGCTGACAAACATGTATCATGGAAGGGAGCTGTGTGACTCAAAGTACCTTAGCGGGTATTCAAACATAAGTGGACGGTTACAGGCCACATTTCTACTACATTTTTGATAATATTTTAATGCGTACAAAGTATTTTGATAAGTAGAATTAGGAATTTCAAAAATTAGAAACATACATTAAAATTTCATTTGGAAGGAAAAGCATGCACACAATGTTATGTGTCAATTATATCTCTATAAAGCTGGAAAAATAAAGGCGAAAATTCTGACAGTTTCAGATCTTGATGAGAGTGTGATTTAGATTCTGGTACAGCGTCTTTTCAGAAAGATAATGTGTTCCAGCGTCACTTTTCGTTATTGGAAAATTGTCTTCAAGAGGAGTTCAAATACGGGAGGTCTAGAGATGCCTCCCCGAGTGCCAGGAAAACAGGTTGTGTAGTAGGCACTGCTGTGAAGGCTCAGAGGCTGGCTTGGGGGTCAAACAGCAGGTCCCTGTTTAAATCCAAGCTCTGTCACTTACTAGTCTGTTGACCAGTATTCTTAATCGTTCTGTGCTTCAGTTTCTTGAGCTGTGAAATGTATAAGATAGATCTCCTCAAGTTTTGAGATTTAAGTAAGTAAATACATAAAAAATGCTTAGCATGTTATCAGCGCACGAGCAACACTTAGTAAATGCTGGCAGTAAGCTTCAATGTAAGCCGACATGCGCCCCTTGCATTGGTCCACCATGTTTCTTTTCTCCTCGTTTACTCTTAGTTTTACCTTTTCTCTGGTTTTCCAGTCTTCCCACTTTTCTCTACTTCACTAGCTCCCTTGTTGTTCACTTTTTCTGTCTGTCTTAAGTTAAAACTTTGTGTTTTCTCCCACTTTACCCCAAGTTTTTATCATCTTTTTAAATTTCCCAATTTCTATTATTTTCTCTGACAGGCCCAGTGGCCATATTTCTTTTTTCCTTCATAGGCCTGTATCTTAGCTTCAGGGGCTCTTAACCTGAGGTCTTTGGATGCTCTTTGGAACCCTAAAGAACCCCTGGAATTGTACACAACATTTTATAAAGATGCATTTTTTAAGGGAAAGTTTCCATAGTTCTTTACCCGGATTTCAGAGGCTTTCACGAATTGGCGGAGGTTAAGACCCATTGCTCCATGGATGTCCCTCCTTCCCTCCCAGGTGATTTGTTGGGCCTCTTTACCAGTTGCCTCATTGATTAGGGGACCTCTGTGGACATGGAAAGGTGTTCATCACTGTCCTGTCTGTCCTCAGAGAGTGCATGAGATTGGCACCATAAAGGAACTCATTAACTGTTGCATTACTGTGTTGTGCTTTAATATTTGCGTGCAACAACTTTGGTTTCAAAAATTTTAGTGGTTTTAGAGAAACAACATTATGCATTGCATAAAGTTATTTTCCCCATTTCAGATATTCATGACAAATGGCCATCTCCATTTAAAACAAAGTAGATAGTTCTCATTTTAATATCTTTTCCATTTTTGTATGATACGCCCAAGCCAACTTGGAAACAAAGCATTCAGTATTTTAGAAACTTAACTGTCCAGTGAAAAAAACAATGTATTTGGAATTAGTTATAAATTCGTTAGAAGAAAATTCCAGATTGACAGCCTTTTGGATTTCTTTTAAGCCTTTGAAGGCAGGCATGTCAACTGTAACAAAACAGTAATGTAGACTTTTCGTGTATTTTTTTTCTAGTTGGCCAAAGAGCCAAAGCTGTTCTCTTAACTAAAATCTTCATTCACTTGAATCATCTTGACAGCCTGAAAAATTTAGAACTCCTCTCAGAGAAGAAGATACACAAGAAACACATTCTTCACACATCTTATCATGTGTAAAAGTCTAGGGAAGAAAAATATTCCTTTGAAAATACCACTTCTTTCATCTCTGCACTGATAAAAATTCTGACCTCAAAAATAAAACGCCCATACTCAAGGGCCTGGATTCCCCGGGGGAGTGATCAAACCAAATTAACAAACACAACCTCCCCCACCCCCTTTTAAAAAAATAGTGGTGACCCATCCTGGCTTAGTGTTTGGAGCTGAGCTAATACAATGCCATATACATATTTAACAAAAGTGAGCTGAGTGTCTAGCATGTACTAGGCTCTGGGTACACAATCGTGAACATGACACTTAAGATCCTTGCCCTTGAGAAATACACACACACACACACACACACACACACGCATTTTGTGTGTGTGTGCGTGTGTGTGTGTGTGTGTGTGTGTGTGTTTGTGTTCATATACAAAGAGTGACAAGTGCAAAGAAATGGATAGGGCCTGAAGAGAGCCCTTGATTAATTTGTTTTCTGTGTTTTAATATTGAAGTTGGTAGCAGGCCATAATTTGTGGCTCTTCAGAAAAGAAGCTCTGATCATCCAAAGATTACTGTACCTTGAAATGTAAAATTTGCTCTGGAAATGAAAATATATAGATGTACCTGCAAGAGGCGTTGGCCACAGCCTATACGGGGAGTTCAACCAGAAGAACGCTGTTTTTCATAACTCCGTGTTTCCCTGGCTCAGCAAGGCTGAATCATACGTAACAGCTGATGCCCTAGAACCCTGTTGGAGACACCGCTGAATTCTGGGAATACAGCTTGGCCACTACCAGTCTACTCTGATCTTTCATTCTTTCAGGAGAGGAAGTGGAGGGCTGCAGGGCCCTCCTTTTAGTTGAGCAGAGGAGAATGCTATTGTCAAGCCTAAATTTTCTAATTCATTGTTTTCCTTTTTTTTTTTCAATTGGGCTAATATTATGCCTACCCAAGAGACTGTTTGGAAACCTGAATGTTGAAATAAATGGGAATACTCAGCTGGCTTGTGATGAACAAGATTTAGGGACTCGGAGAGTGGCTTCTCTATAGAGTGTTAACAGTTCTGTTTGTGTCCTGGGGAACTGAGGCTGTTCAGACTTATCTGGGGAGCTTAGGGGCCCCTCCCGAGGACCCCTCAAGGTACTAGTGGGAGCAGGTTTGTGAAGAAGGGAGAGGTCTCTGGCCACCCCACTTTCCCTTAACTAGGGAGCTACTACTAGATACAAAGCAAAGAAAGAACTTGAAAACAATAAATGAATGCCTGCTTCTTTGTCATAGAACCTTCCAGAGTGAGTGTGTTTGTGTACCATCTCTTAAGGATTTCCTTGTGTATGGACAAAGAGGCTCACAGGACCTTTTCACCTGGGCTCTCCTATTCTTTTCTCCTTCTACCATTCCTCCTCTGCCCTGCTATCGCACAGCCCTCACGTAGAAAGGAAAGTAGGGAAAAGAAATATAACACTTGAGTTCCATACTGTGGGAGCCATATACGATCTGTTAGCAGTGATAGATTTAAACAATTAATATTTGAAAGCCCTGAAATTTATGTTCTTAAATCTTCTAACTGAATGGAAAACTGTATTATCCTCATTAAGAAGAATATATTTGGAAGTAACCAACACACTGAACTATTCAGAAAGCAACGTATTTTAGCTCATAACGAGCCTTAACCTTTATAGGATTAGCACATGGAAATCGTTACTGTGTACCAGCAGGTAAATCCTTGTCACCATACCTCTTAAGTCAAGGACTAAGTCCTCATTATGCCAGGGCATTCTCATTTTCACAATTAATCGCCTTTGGTTGCTAAGGTCCATGCTTCACAAAACAAAATTTCAAGAGATGACTAGTTTAATTTTGCAGTGTAAAATTTTTTTTTTCAAAACATGTTTCAAAACATTTTTATTGCAAAACATGTTTTTTTCCCTACGTTTCGAAGATATTCTGTTGACTAATTCAAATTTCACATACTATTAAGAGTACCCTAATTTATAAGCTGGAAAGGTATGTGATTTGAATGCTTCCTACCTAATGTGACTGGAATTTTGCTCCAATTACAGGAAAGGCAAACCCTCATTCTCCAGTTTCAAAAAGAGAATGCAGCTGCTGGGAGAAGAGAGCTAAACTAACAGGACATTTAATATTTTGAAAAATATGTCCGGGGCAGGGGGGGGGAAGACTTTTCTGTTCAAAAAGATATTGAATTATTTTGCTTGGCAGTTCCAACATGTGAATATTTTGAGCCCCATCAACTGTCATTTATTTTTCATTGAGTTCAAATGGAAAAATTGAAAACTTTATTCTGACATGTAGTTATTAGAGCTCATAGAAACCTTTGGCTGAAACTGCCTACACGTTACTGTGATCTGCACATTCCACTTTTAGTGGATAAGTGTTTAATTTTCAAAATTCTTAGCAGATAGCAGAGCTGCAGCCAAAAATTCCTCCACCGAGATTCCTTCCGGCCCAGATGAAACTAATAGTTCCAAGCTGTGTTGCTGTCACTCATCACTAATCCAGGTATGGCTGCTCACTGTTTTTAATTTTCTTCTCCTGAACTTAAAGGCAGGGCTGGCCTTTTTCCCACGAGAAGCCAGTGATAATGGGCCTCAAATTCCAGCAATTGGAGATCTGGGCCTTTACCACACTGACATAACTAGGCTTTGTTTCGGAGCTTGTATAGATAAGAGGTTGATGATGGACATAATACAATGGAGGGCAGGCGTAGAGTAGGGTATTAAGGAAAAATAAGAATGCATTAGGAATTTGCCCCTATAATTTCCAAGTTAGTATCATGGAAAGCCACTATTTCCTACCACAAGGTGTCCATTGATGCCATTTGCCATTTTGGGACAGAATTTTGAAGTGGACGGACAGTATGTTTTTATGTTTATTATAATTCGTGTTATAAAAATAATAGAACAAGGCTGGGATGTCCTCAAGGATAGGAATCTGTGTCTACTCACTTTTGTCCACTGTCTGACATAGAGTAAAATCTTAACTGAATGACTGCATTTAAAACAAATTAATGTTTTAGTTATAGCTTAATTTTGATATTTCAAACTTAAAGAACAGTTACACAATTAATACAAGGAAATCCCATACGTACTGTTTACTGAGATTTGCCAATTGTTTACTAAGTTTTAAATTTTTATATATGCATAATGTTTTTTTGAACCAATAAGATTAAGTTGCAGACATTGTGCCCCTTCAACTTTAAATTCAATGCCTTAGTACGTAGTTCCTCAGAAGAACGTTCTCTTATAACAAAATACAGTACACTTTCAAAATCTAGAAATTTAACCTTAATATAATCTGTTTTCTAGTCCATATTCAAATTTGTCCATTATCTCAATAATATCTTTTATAGCTACTTTTTCTCAGTCTAGTATCCAATCCAAGATCACACATTCCATTTAATTTTCATGTCTCATTAGTCTCATTTCTTTTTCTTTCTTAACCTTAACATATTTTGAAGAGTAGAGGTCAGGTATTTTGTAGAATACCCTCAATTTCTGTTTGTCTAATGTGTCCTCGTGATTAGATGGAGGTTTTGTGGTTTTGGAAGGAAACCCATAGAAGGAATATTGTGCCCTTCTCAGTACATCCTATCAGTAGGCACATGATATCAGTCTGTACAAATGTTACTGATTTATTACTTGCTTCAATTGTATCCAGCAGGTTTTCCACTGTAACATTGTTGTTTTTCCTTTGCAGTTAATATGTAATCTGTGGGAGATGCTTTGAAACTGTACATGTCTTGTTCCTCATCAAACTTTCACCCCGTAGTTGTAGCATCCATCATTCCAATCCTTCCATATTTATTAATTGACATTATGCTCCAAGGAAGAGCTTCCTTTTCTTCTTCATTTTTAATTCGTATTAATTTGAATGCATAGATTTTTATTTTGTTCAAGGAGTTGTATTCCATTGCTGTCATTAATTATTTTGATGCTTGAATTATACCAGATTTGGCCTGTGGTGGCCTCTACAAACTGCTCCTCTGCCCTTTTGATACGTCTTCATCATTCTTTGAGAATTTCTTTTTTATTTTAAAGATTTTTATTGGGGAATTGGGGGAATGGGAACAGTGCTGGGGAATTGGGGGAAGGGGAACAGACAAGTTGCTGTCCTTTTGTTCTTCAGTCTAGTTGTGGAGGACGTTG